TCCTAGGCTTTTCTGAGGATAACAGGCGTTCACTCTGAGGGAATGGTCAGCGTTGACAGATATTTTATCATTTTTTTTGCCCTGCAATGCTACTCTGAGTCAGCCATAGTAGTAGGGGTTTTATTCAAATATGCAGTAATATTACAAGGGAGCATTCACAAGAATTTAATGGCATCTTTAGGTACACACAGGACTTCTGATTTTGGTATGACGTAAAAGACCCATTTTGAGGTAGTCCAAGCCTGAAATTCTGTACCAAATAAATCATTGCTGGATAAACATGTGGCCTAGTGTTACCTTCTTCTTCCCTATGTTAAAACTTGTAGCTGTGTAGCGAGTCACAAACATCTTAAGCCCATGTTTGAAATAATAATTGTCCTCCCTTTAGACAATAGGAAAAGGAGTGGTAGGAGGATATACAGGGTCTGATTTGTTATACTGATTCTTCTCAATAGTGCTGGTAGTCAATGGACACTGACAATAGCAGGGAAGGTGATTTTTCTGGAAAGCAAGAGGGCCACCTGTGAGATTGGTGGTGGTGGTGGCTAGATTCCTATAGCATCAGAATTGGCAGAAAAATTTTAAGAGATTATCTAATTCCACCCACTCATTTATTGTACAGGTTCAGAGTATCAGGATGATAAAATCACCAACCAGTTAAATGGCAGAGAAGGGATTAAAACCTAGCTTCCTCCAAATTCTCTGTATTGCTTCTTGATTGTTCCCCATTGTCCCCTCCTCTGGAAAATATGCAGTTCTGGTGCCCTTTTATAACTTGCAGTCACTGAAGTTTGTGAGAATTGTACATTCAGCACAAGCTCATTACACGCTGTTATACAATTGTCCATACTTGATTCGGCCTTGATAACATGGACTTAAAGAGCTCTAGACTAACTACATGCTCAGCCTGAGACCCCACGTCATTTACTTCATTGCTAAGCAGCCAGTGATATGTGGGCTACATGTTACACCTCCACCAAGACATCTTTCATGTGGTTTCAGGAACTTGCTGAAACTAAGGTCCAGAAACAGACAAACTCAGCCAGGTCCTGGCCCATACCCAGCTAGCTCCCTTTGCCTTGGGCTGATGGAGAGCTTTAACTTACAGGTGAGGTCTGGCAGACAGAGGATAAACTGGTGTGGGTTTGCTTGACAGGTGGCTGAAAGCCACAGGTGGCTCTAATGTGCACAGTTTGGGAATTAAAAACAAAAACAAATATTAATTGCCTGGGTAGTATGAGGGGGTGGTTGTTTTCTAAATGAAATTTAAAACTCTGCCATGGATGCTGCCAGTAAGTGGACTGAGAAGCCGAAGTACTTCTTTGGGGAGTACTTCCTTCACCTTAAAGATGGAAGCAGTGGTTAGAAGTACGATGGCTAGCTAGGTTTAATTCCTGGCTTAGGAACTCACCACCTATGTCACATAGGGTTAGTAAATTAACTTCTCTAAACTTCATTTTCCTCATCTGTAACACGAGAAAAATAACAGTACTTTACAGAAGTGCTGTTAGGACTAAATGGAAAAGTCACCAAGAGAGAACTTTGTATGTTCAATGATGTTAGCTCTTTTTATGTTGCTTATTTTTGTTGGTGATGCAAAAGCATCTCTTGTCTTACAGGTTATAATATTCAAAATTACTTGAGACACCCATATCTTTTCAAATACAGTAGTTTGCCAGGTTTGTTAAGGGAAAACAAAACACTTGAGTCAAAAGTGTATTACTGATCAACAAAATTTGTTCAAAGGTATAGCATTATATTCAAATACTGTGAGAAGTTTCTGAAATGTTAGTCCTCTTTACCATCATCCTCCCAAACCCTCCCACCCCCCCAAAAAAAAGCTTGGTAATAAACACTTAAGCAGTTGCAATACTGTACTCAATTTTAAGACAGAAAAAAATGTTATCTAGCTACGTATCTGTGTGTGTGTTTGTAGTTTTTAAATGTGCCCTCCAAACATTTTTATTTTTCCCTTGGTCTTTTGCAAAGGGAAAATTATGTATTACAACCTCTAATACACTTAGAGCTATGTCACTATAATTGGTTATAGTGATGACCTGAATTACTGGGAAAGGAAAGGGTATTCTCCTTAAGAAGGCATGAGTTCTCTTTAACACATGGGTTAGTTACCCCTGTTAGTTCACACACACACACACTCACACACCCCTACACACACAAACCTACTACATTCACTCTCCCAAAAACCATTCTCCAAGGATTCTAGCAGCTTATTGGCTTACAAGTACCATACTAGTTTCCTCAGAAAACCAAGAGATGGTGGTACTGGCCAGTGTATGGACAGTGCGAAATATTCAATAAAGTGAAAATAATGATCTGCCCCTTAAGTTTTTGAAAAACACTGGAAAAGTGTGCATGCAAGTAACTGAAATGCCAGCTATGAAACAGTTACAACCACCAAAATAAGGAAGGCTTATCTTTCTATTTTACTTCAAAAAGAACAAATAAATTAGTCACCAGTCTTTGATAAGCTCTGAGTTTGCCACCACCTCCCAAAACTGTACAGAAGGATAGCTCTTTTGTTTCACTTAAATTATTTAAAACATGTTTATCACATAAGGCAAATTCACTTCATGCTTTACTTCAGTAAAATGGAAAAAAAAAAATCTTTCTCCAAAATTGGCACTAAAGTTGTTGAGTTCTTAATAGCAAGAAGATACATCCAACTATAAGCAGAATGAACACAGTCATAATACATATCAAATCAAAATTATTTCCTTTATATAATCAGCAATGAGCAACTCCAGAGGTAGTATGGCAGAAATGAGCATGGATCCTATCAGGTCACAACCAATGAAGAAATTAAATTTATTATTTTTTCTATGGTTTTGGCCATAAACTGTTTCACACATTTAGGACCTGAATAAAACCACTCTCAGCAGAAATCTTGGCCCATTAATTCAACTGACATATCAATTTACAACTTTCAGGACTGCAGATATAAAAATGTAAAGTATAAAATTATGTAAGTTTGAAATGGTTTTAATTGTATTCATTAAAAATATTTACATTTCCCAGTACTTACTTGACAAAACCCCCTTGCAATATAATTCTACTCTAAACTTTTATTTATAAAATGAGGCTCATTTATGAGAGTTCAATGAATGTTATACTGCAAATTACTTACATTCTGTAAAATATTTTAAGAACTTTTCATATCAAAGGTAGTTTATATTGGATTATTTGAAATCCAATAATGCCCACAGATGAGCTTCGTATAATTCTTTTCATTAATGCTTGGAAAGCACTGTGAAAATGAAAAGTGCTGTTAAGTGCTATTATCTCCCTTAAATTTTCACTTATACTGTGTGCACATTGTGAAATAAACACATATGCAGCATGTCCATGTTTTGATATGTATTTTTATTTCCCTGCAGTTTTCACTTATCAAGAACAAGTAACAGGGAAAGTTGTCTGAACTAGTGCATAAACAAACATTCTGAAACACCACTACACGTATCTAATTTACAAGAACCGTATAAAAAAAGTCACTAAAACACTACACTATGAAGGTGTCCAACGCTTACAGTCAGACTTTTTCCAACCCGTTACTTGCCTTGTAGCCACAGGAAAACTCTCCAAAATTGAAAAGACAATCTTGCCACAACCCTCCCCCCCTCCCAACACCTGGGATGGCTCGATATCTAGACTTCCAATAATTATTGCAATGATATAAAGCAATACATACCTGGTAAAATATCCTTTATGTGGTGTGTTACAGTTTTAAAGCCAGTTAAAATATGCAGTCTTCAGATAAAATGTAATCCTTGAAAAATTGTCATATCTGCACAGTTTAAATGTGCTCGATGCATAATTTTTCCTAGTCCGTTTTTTCTGTGTAATTATTTTTTTATAAACTGGTATTATAAATAGAAATATACATTCAAAATATATGGAAAAGTGAGTTTACTACATTAAATTTGCATGTATCGATCCATCCCTTCCCCCTGCACAGTAATAGAAAATACTATTTTGCCTTGAACTTCATATTTGACAGTGAAATGCCACTAAAGTATTTACCAAAAAGTCCATCTAGTCAAATTGTGAAACAAAATGAACCAAGTGAAAACTTTACAGTTCCTTTAGAAAAAAATTACAAGAATTTCATTTCCTAGCTATGAATCTTTAAGTTTTTAGACACAAAGCTGGATTTATTTTTACAAGATACAAAATGTAAACATGGCAAAATAAATAGTTAAAACAAGTGATGCAGGATCCCATTTCATGCTCATGATCCCATTAAAGAATTATTTTTTAAAATCCATTCAGTTGCAAATTCAAGTGCAAAAGCATGATGATGAATATCTACTATTCAAGTAACAGAAATAATATTGATGATACAAATAAACTATTTTACAAGGTAGTGATTTTCCCAATTTTACAAAATATACATAATATATCGATTTAACGTCCGATATACTGTAGTCCATTTAGGTCCATTTTAACACTCTGTCATCCACAGAGTGTCGCCTTTTGCATTCAGCTGGAATATGAATGACTGCACACCATCAGCACAGGTCAAAGCCACACAGTTTTAAGTTATGTCACTTCCATGGCCACTGTTGTCTCTGCTATTCCATTTAAACCCAATCTTTCTGGTTCATGGTTCTCTCTATAATAAGGCAAAGAGTAAAATAAGCATTAACACTCTTTAGAATATGATTATTATCATTTAGGATTTATGTAGATTTTTTTATGTAACTACAACTAAACATGTATTTCACAACAATATTTCACATTTTTACAATTTCTAAACAGGGACGAGGAAGTTTTCTTCAGCTCAGAAATCCCAGCAATTCCTAATCACTTGATTATAACTATTTATTTTGGAAAGATAATAGTAATTTAATAATAGTATTTCAGTAGAAACCAATGATAAACTTAATTACTTGTAAAATATTTAAGAGGATAATCTAATTTTTTTTTTTTTTTTACAATAGATGGAGCATAAGATACTCAGAAAGAATAATCATTAGGAACACAACATTACTTAAATTCCTTCTCTTTATGATTTAATTTTTATGGTTTTAAGGTCATGTACTTATCAACACATACAAATCTTTTTTTTTCCCCCCTGATTCGCTGTTCTCCTTGTATTAGTATCATGGAAAAAAAGTATAAAATTATACTTCAAAATACATTATCATAGATTTAGTTAATCTCAGAAAATTCTCAATGTTAATCTATTCATACAATAATTTATTTTAAATACTCTTTGTGTATAATGCTGAAGAAAATATAAACTTAAACCATGGCACAGAATTTAATAACTCTAAATCTTTTATTAGACTGTCTGAACTAAACTACAAAAAAGTGATATGAAAGCTTCTAAAAAATAAGGCTCTATGATACATTTGTCAAACTGATGTCTTTTTCTTGTTTTGTTTTTTTTACAATGCTGGTTGGCACTTAAACAGCCTACTAGCTACTTCAAGTAATCAAACTCACAGAGCTTTACACTAAGAAGATCCTCAATATCTCTCAACAGATACCTATTGCTTCAGCAGTAAACAACAACAAAAAATGTCTTTTTCTTTCCATAGGATAGCTACAACAAAGGGACAGAATGATACTTGAAACACACACCCACACACACACCTTGCTATGCTGCTGATGGCACTGCTGGGAGTAACCTTTGGCACTCTGTCCATACTGGCAGCAACTGTGGCAAGTTTTAAGGCTGTTGGCGATGGTGCTGAAGTCCTTGTGTTGATATGCACATTGACTGGAGAAACAACACTGACGTTATTGAGGTGCACTGCATTTGTCAGGCAGGAATTGTTCATGGGAAGTGTTTGAGGACTGCTTGTGCACAATGCTGGGATTAAGTGGTTTGTAGTGGTGTGGCCAACTGTCCTTACAAGTTGTACAGCTGAAATCCCTGGGCTGGATGATAAAGCCATATTGGTGGAGTATAATGTTTTAGAGGTTCCTGAAAAAGAGAAAAAATATCATTCAATTTATGCCACGGGACACTGATAAAACTCTTAAAATGTTAGAAGTCTAATAATAAAAATAAATGTAAGCATTTATATTCTAATTGAATACCAAGTTAAATTTCCACACAATGGCCTCTCGAAAAAGAGCTTCTTATCAGTAGGTATGATGTAGTGATCTGTTACAACCCCAAAGACACCCTCTTTCTATTGGCCTGCTGTCTCCATTTCTGGAAACTTTGTAGGCAAGTATAATACGGCAAGAAAGCCCTCAAATCAGAGTTCCTTTATGGAGATTGAGGGCAAGTAGAAGTGACAGGTTATTTCCCTAAGAATTTGGAAGATGCATAAACATTAGCAAGGACGGGCAATCAAGATCATGCATATATGTTAAAAGAAGTGGGTAACTCTAGGGTCTGAGAGGTAGTTGAAAGATGACAGAAACAGCTATGGTCTTTGAGGACTCAGGGTGGCAAGAAGCAGACAGAGTTTCACAGCAACACTATATTTGAAGAGGAAGAAATCAGGGAAAATATGCCTATTCATGTGTAAGAGTGGGAAGGTAAATCGTGTTGCAAATTTATCAAGAGACCGTCTGGATTATATGTCACCATTTTATCATTGCATGGATGATTCAGTGGTGATAGTTATTGACTAGCTCAATGGGCTTCCTAAGGTGTGAGGTAACTGACAGAATGTGGATGACACTAGGAAGGATGGAATGTTATCCACGGAGGTTTATCAGTGGGTGCAGCAGGAAACGGGGAGGAGCAGGCTCTATGTGAATTCTAGAAGAGACCTAGCCATTCCCCATACCTTCCCAAAGAAATTCCAAAGAGTACTGATTGATCTCTTTTACAACACCTCCTTGAATTTAAAAGGATTTAACAAACGAAAACCATGCCCCAAATCATCGAGTTACAACTTCAAGCTAGTAGTACCACGTGAAACCATGGCCTTACCTGAAGGCTGGACAACACCATTTATGTTGTTGTGGCCAGTGTTCTGTTCCTTGGCTACCTCACCGCGACTTGGAACAGGTGCACTGACCACTGCAGATGCAGCAAAGTGGGCGCTGGCTGAGTCAAGTGTTTTAGACATACAGTCAGAGGTGCTCGAGCCCTATAAAATGAACGAAGTTAAACTCTCAATTTTCTAGATGTGATTTCAGGAACATACCAAGGAATGTGGCAAATGCAAGAGACTATTATTGTCTTTCTAATCTTGAACAGTTACAAGTGTTTAGATAAAGAGACCTAGGACTTCACAGACTCTTTCTGGCATATGAAGCAGAGAAGTGACTAAAAACTGGGCAGCTATTATTTCTGAGAAAGAACTAGAAGATTAAAAAAAACACAGACCTTTAATGCTCTGTAAATTTTTCCAACAACTGCTAATGCATGCTTTTAAACGTACCTAACAATTTGGATACCATGGGCTAATTGAAATCACACAAGAAATGATGAACAGTCATTTTTGCCACAATGCAAAAATGTATCTTGGTCTAACCTTGCAGTAAGTCTGAAAATACTTTCAGGCTGACTAGCCAAGAGACTCAGAAAAAGCAAACAGGTTGATTCTAATATAAAACAGGTTAACTGTTACTAACAGTCAATAGCCCTAGATTGTAGGCCAGTCCAGATTCACCTGGGTGTCAAAGGAATGTTTGATGTGTCCTAGGGTCACTGAGATTTTTGTATTGCTGGACTCTATCTTCAAGGTCAGTGTATGTCCTCCAAAGAAGTAATTGTGTTCTGATTTTTAGCCTTTTGGGGACAGAGATCGACCCTTTAAGGATGAGCTGAACAACTATGGGCAGATCCTGGTCTGAAAGCTCACAGAACACAGCCACAACCGAGTTAATCCCAATCATTACTTTCAAAACACAAACAGAGCCAACAACTTAAGACCTAAAACGTAATGTTTTCCCAGATTCCTCAAATTTGAAATATACTTCCCAATTACAGTTTTATGAGGTATTTTTTTTTCCTTATCTCTAGTGCCTTCTCTTGTGGTATCTATGGAAAAACTTTCCTAGCGGCAAGTTTTTTTCTACAGGGAAATGTGATTCAAAGAGGCAAGGGGCTATGTTGTTTACATTTATTGCACAATTCAGGAGAACTATCTTTCAGCTCATGAGACATATCCACATGGCCCTTAAAACAGACAGTTTAGAAAGGGGTTAGGAAAATTATATCCTTGAAAAAAAAACTTTTCTGGGGGATGTGGGAAGGGGATGATGGTTCTAAAACTATATAACTGTATCTATGAATTCTCAAAAGTGCACTCCCCAAAATGCAGCTATTTCTCTCCTAAATGAAAAATACATTTGGCTCTAATGCTCTTCTTATAAAATACTATAAAACTCATAAAATATTAAGTGACTAGTTTGTAAACTAGTCACTTAAGTAAATTAACTGGAAAGAAACTTAAGTGATACCCTCAAAATCAAGAGTAGCAACAGCAAGGTGATCTTCTGTGACTTGACTAAAATTGAACAAAAGTACGTAATTATGAAACAAAGGAAGAGACATAACCATGATTAAAAGACAGGTTTACCTGTGCTTTTGGATGTGTCTGTTGCGAGGAATGCTGAGATTGCTGTTTCTGCTGAAGCTGAGCAAGTTGCTGCCTTTGCATCTGAACTAACTGCTGTTGATGTGTCTGAAACTGCTCTTCCGTGATACCCCCTGTCACTGGTAAAGGGAATTAATTTCAGAAATAAGTACACTTTATTTTTAGTAAGATAAACAGAATATAAACTTATTTCACAATTAAGACGAAAAACAATTATAAATCACAATATACATCATCAGTAAAAATCCCAATAAAAATGATAAATCTTTCAGCAAAAGTGGTTTATATTGATATCCGTGACATCCTTACTATCACATGCACAAAAATGTTCCTATATGTAGTTTTCCTGCATAATATAGTTTTAATATTCAGATTCTATCTTTTACTCACACTTAGGATCTTTGAGATCACTGTTCAGACTATTATGCTAAATATGTAATACGAAAAACTTTGATTTATTGATGCAAATAATAATGACTAAGATATACCCTTAAGAAGACAACAGGACTATCTGCAAGACTGTAAATGATTCTTACTGTTGGTTTTCATATATGACAGTGAAGTGAATATACTTCTCTGGTTACAAATCACAGTAGAGGACAAAGATATTCATCTAACAAAACCATGAATTATAGTTTAAGCCAGAATGTTCACTGTCTAAAATAAGTCCTATCTATAAAAATACCAGCTAAGAACTAGAGAAGTGTTCTGGAAATTAAAGATGTATCTTCAGATGCAATCAATTATGTTGTGACCAAAGTATGTTAAAAGTAGTGGATTTCAAATAAAAACAAGACATCTAAAACTTTTGCTTAAAAGACCAGCTAAAACTATCCCGAGGTTATCTTTTAGTAAAATAACAGATTGGCACACAAAATAAAGGATATTATTCCTGAGTACAGTGTTCCATTGAAAAACTATCCACGTGAGACCAAAAGGTCAACAATCACTCTACAGCAAAGATGAGAGGATAAAGGGGCAGGGAAACTAGAGTACTGGTAATGGAACAACAAGAACATAATTAAAGACAATGCTGACATATTGTGAAAAATGTAACTAATGTCACTGAACAATCTGTATAGAAATTGTCAAATGGGAACCTAATTTGTTGTGTAAGCTTTCACCCCAAACATAATAAATTATTATTTAAAAAAAAAAAAAAAAAAAGCTAAGAAAAAGTTGTATTAGGAAATACTTTTGTTGAAAAAAATATAAGCAAACTTTCATTCACTGATATCTAAGTAAGTCACTGATAAACTGATTTAGAGGACATAAAGCTATTTCTATAGAAGTCAGGACATTATTAGAGTAAGAAAATACTAAATCACATCAGAATACATGCACTACTACAGTAATTTTTGCTTTATTTTTCTTTATTGCCTTCTTTCCTTTCTCCAGATTATTTTACTTAGTCAACAAGTATTAACTAAATATCCACTATGGTGCAGAGTGCTACACTAAGAGATACAGTGAATACAGGGAAAACAGATGAGGTAGAGGGTCCCTGCCATAAAATTATACAGTATAACTGGGAAGAAAAGATGAAATACTAACTAGTATGAGCCAACCTTTACATACAATTGAACAATCTAATCAATATGACCTAAAGGAGTTTAAAGTAGATTATACTCTCAACTAGGTACTTAATACTCCCAGAGTTTTCTACATAGTAAGACCACAAACAAGAAACTTAAGAAAAAAAAATTGTGATGAGAAATTAGACATGTAACAAGTTACGCATTAAAAAAACAAAACAAAACAAAACAACCCATTGCAGTCAAGTTGATTCCGAATCATGGTGACCCCATGTATTACAGAGGACTGCTCCACAGGACTTTCTTGACTGTAATCTTCAAAAGCTGATCACCAGGCCTTTCTTCCGTGCCACTGCTGGGTGAGTTAAAACCACGAACCTTTCTTTAGGTTAGCAGCTAATTGCAAATTGCTTGCACCACCCGTAACTAGCTATGCATGGTATAATTTATTTACTATGAAAAGGGAGCTGCTAGGCCTCGAGATGGACAAATCTCTGTATGTTCTGTTCCATAACATCATTAAAATGTGAATTAAACTATGAGGAGAACTGTTCTCAGATAGATACTGATTTTATTTTTAGAAGATTCAAAAACCTGGGGCTATTACAGTGCTCACTCAAAAGTTGTAGTATTACCTGTATTTGTGAAGTACACATTAGTTATCTTACTGAATTACCAACAAAATCAAATGTCTTTCTTTGCACGTGTTAAATTCACTGAAAGTGTTCTATTTTTAAATGAAAAAAAAGTTTTAATTCTAAATTTACAATCTTCAAAATCAAATAAAAATTTAAAGTGTTCATGAATTTCCAGCTGTTTGAAAACCTTGGGGAAAAAAAGAGATGAAAAAATAGTTTATTAGATATAAGGCAGGAAGAAAAATCTTAAATTAAACCCAAATAAATCTGTTTAAGTCCTATGCATACAGAGTGTACCAGTTCAAAAGAAATGGACTTGGACTCTAATGGTAGCAGCGTGCACTCCCTAAAATTCAGTGCTAAGTTAGTCCAGAGTTAAGGTTTATAACCTAGTGAAAAGCTGAGTAACAACAGTTAGCCTTAAATGAAGAATAAACCAAGTAAAGAGAATGCACCTTTAGTGCCTATTTCAAAATTGAGAAAGAAATGACAATGAGAATCTTTTATCTTTCCAAAAGCTTTTAAGTCAGACAGTCAACAAAATCTTACTAATTCAGAATAAAGTATGTATCTGAATTAGTGGAAAGATCAAATGCATAGTTTTGTTGCTGGAGGTGGTCCACCGCTAACAAAGTATTGCCAAAATCTCAAAACCAAACCCGCTGCTTACAAGTCGATTCCGACTCATAACAACCTTATAGGACAGGGTAGAACTGCCCCATAGGGTTTCCAAAGAGTGGCTGGTGAATCTGAACTGAACCTTTTGGTTAGCAGCTGAACTCTTAACCATTGTGCCACCAGGGCTCCAAAGTATTGCCAAATGGATTGAGGTGTTCTACCTACTTTTATGAACTGATGATCATTTATGTTATATGAAAAAAGGATGATAAAACTGCCTGTTTTTTAATATGTCTACATTTATTGCCCTGTCTTGTTGAGATCATTCATTTCCCCACAGAAAACTCATAAAATTTTACTCAGACTTAATCCAAACTACTCAAATCAATGAGTCATAGTTCTCAACCTAAATTTAAGCTGATTTTGATATCTGATCTCATTCCTGCTTGTGTATCAATGATGTAAACATAATTTTACAAGATGAACATGCTTTGAAAAATTATATTCGTTTTCTCTCTTCCCCTTCACCTCATGCTCTATACGATCTATCTATTCTTGACATGTAGCTCTTTCTTTACTATTAAGGTTTTTTGTGCTTGAAACAAGCTGATGTTCTTCATCCAGAATATTCTAGAGCATTGTTTAGTATTACTTCAACTCTTTAGACAAAAACAGCAAACAGTAGTTGTGACACAAAACTGGAAAACATAAAACGATACTCTTTTTAACTGACCCCTTGCACTATACTGGGGTGACAGGAAAGGGGTAAGAAGGTTGATTTTAATGGCATGGGTATCAGTATTTAATTGCTGTTCTCAGGGTTGACTTACTGGTAGGCCAAGGGTGGTAATCTGATTGAAAGCAACTTCTCTGCTAATTATTTTTCCTTTCATAAGTTACTGCAAGACGTCCATGAGAGATTTACTTCTTCACTGACTTTTCATCAAAAGGCATGCATTACTATATATCAGGAAAACCTCAAGTGATAGAGTAAATACATCCTTCTAGGAAAGAAATACACTATAGAAGTCCAGCTTTGGGTGGGGTACCAAAACCAGTTGCCATCGAGTCGATTCTGACTCATGGGGGCCCCATGTGTGTCAGAGTAGAACTGTGCTTCACAGGGTTTTCAATGGCTCATTTTTTGAAAGTAGACTGCCAGGCTTTTCTTGAAATGTGCACCTCTGGGTGGACTCGAACCATCAACCTTCCAATTAGCAGGTGAGTGTGTTAAACATTTGCACCATCCAGGGACTCCCCCATTCTACTATAGGCACATAGAACTACTAGATTAAATATTTTAAAATTATAAGAATTAATATTTAAACCCCTCCAAGTCCTATCAGTTTAAAAGTAACCATAAATCTGACTGTTTTGTGAAGGTAGCAATATTTCACTACTTCAGATAGATGGGAAGTATCCCTAAGTAAGAAGTTCTGCAAATTTCCCTCGGTAAGCACATTCTGATAGATGTAACTCGATGAAATTTTCCCTTTCATACACTCCAAATATGTCATTCTAAAACACCAGTAACATTATTGTATTTCTAAATATCTAAGTATATAAATGACAGTCTGGTGGTTTTCACTAAAGCCGCTAACCTTCCCAGCTATTTTCTATGTATGTGGCTTATTACCTATCTTGGATTTATCAGTCTGCTTTTACTCCTGAGATAATTCCATACACTTTTTCTTAGAATACATGTCACCATCCTTGAAGTGTTAATCCTGTTTCCAAAGATTCCTCATTTTATCCTTTAGCTTTCAGGTACGTGATTCTTGCTTGACCTGGTAGTCTGCCTGGGCTGACCTCTTATCACCTTTCCCTCCCATATTCTGAAAGTAATCCACCAGATACGTACATTTTACAAATAATTAAAAGCCCTAAATCACTGTTTCTTAAACTTGGCCCCATATATATTCTCAGGTTAAGATTTCATTCTTGGGTGGTATCTTTACAAATATTTGTGAACTCTGTATTTCTGTTTCATTTATAAATTAAAAAGAAAAATCTAATAGAAACACATGCTGGACCTTCTAGATGACCATCCTGTAACAGAGAATAGAGATATCTTTTTTTAATGTTTGCACCTGTCTTTATTTTTCATAATCTTTTAACTTTTAATGTAGTATCTCTCAAACTGGGCTAAAAAGATTTATTTTTGGGAAATCAAGAATTTTTCAAATTTGAGAAATACTGGCCTAGACCAAGTTTTCATAGTTTAATGAAGAGCATTCAATGTGTTTATTACAAAGTCAAAATCAATATATTATCCAGCACTTCTTCAGCTACCAGGTAGGTCTTTGTTATAAGAGTTTTAATATATGCTTTTATTGTAACATTGCTGATTATATGTAAATTTGTTTGTTTTAAAGGACAGATCTGGGGCTGCATCTTTTGGGGGGAAGAAGATCCAACCATCAGTTGGATTCCAAACCATCAGCTGAAAGAGAGTCAGATGAAAGTTCACATAAACCACTGGAGCTATTCTGAGGACAAATTTTCTAGTCCTTGAAAACTGGCATTATCTGTCCAGGACTCTATAAATCTAACTCTCATGGCTAAAGGCAAACTAACGAACAAACTACGAAAATGAGGAGATGGGAAGATGAAGAACCAACAGGATGAGAGGATAATGAAAATAGACTAAAGATCCATTTAAACTTCTGACACACAAGCTTAATAGTTACAACTGAAATTACATTATTATGTCCTTTAGCAGCCAAACAAATCGTTTAATCCCTGAAATCTGAATCCATTTCTCACCTTTGGAAGCAACTCTAAGCCAAAAATAATTGTGAGTACCTTACCTGGTTGGCTATCATAAGTGATAGACACAGTGCTGCCTACCATAAAACTTTAATGCTTGTAAATATTTCGTGGCAATTTAATAAGGAACAGGAAGAGACAACAGATAAATTAAAAATCTGAAATTTCTCTTAAAAAACTACAAAACGTTAATGACTTTACAAACTGGCAATAAGATATTTGGAGCTGGTCAAAAAGGTATTGTGTCTACCTACGCAGTATATTAAGAGAGTCAGAAAAGGAAAAAAACCCTATATTAATTTGCAACCATGCATTAGCCAAAACCAAGATACATGTAAATTAATCTGGTTCTTCAAGTCTGAACAAGGAAAGCTACTTTTAGATGTGAAACATTTTCTTGAGTTTTGAATTTAAGAACAACATCTCAAATAATAAATCACACTGCACTTTCAGATGACTAAAAACTTTATCTTCTATTTATATAAAGGATGTAATATTTGCCATGTACTATAAACTCTATGAAGGTAAGAATTATTGTCTTGTGAAACTTTTAAACACTTAGCACAGTGCTTTTCATATAACAGATCCCAATTAATTATGCAGGAAATTAATTTTTCCTGGTTATTCACTTGCCATGTTCAGCACAATCTTTCACTTCTCTGTCTTCCTTTATTTTATTTAAAAGTTAACATCCTGTCAAAATGAAAAGCCTTTAGTTGAAGTTATTCTAAATACCTAGGAACACAGATTTCAATTTTAGTTTTCTTTTAAGTCCTTTAAGTATGATATAGAAACAGTATATTGAGGATACAGGGATTTTGACTTGATAATATTAAAATTATTAACACATAAAAGAAGTTCTTAGCTTTCAAGTTCACATAAGATATAGTCCCCATCCACACCTCTTTTTAAAGAAAATAAGGAATTTGTGATACAAATAAACATTACTCTCAAGTGCACAGGATTTCTATTTCTGATTAAACTCTTTCATTTGTTTGTTATTGTCAACTTCGCAGCTATGAAACAGAAAAGTCAGTACTTATAACTTGTCTAACTTGGTACTCTCTGCTGGTAAAAACATGGTCTTCTATGTCAGTATTGTTACTTTTAAAGAATCACACTCTCATCACCAAGCCCACTAAGAATGAGCAGAAGGCAAAAGCATTAAACTAAAATAGACAAAAACACAGACTAAAAGAAACAGATATATAAGGATTCAATTATTTTGCATATGTTCATCAAATTTAAAAATACAACTTTCTAAAAACACCTAAATCCTTCTCTTTAGGTAGCTGAAGGAAACTTCTCGGTACTTACTGAACTGTAACTGAATCCACATAAAATTATCTCACCAAAACTTAGAAAATGATGTAAAAAATATAATTAGTATAATGGATACTTAAAACTTCAAACAAAATTCTTCATTCTAATAATAAATGATTAAATATATACTTGAAAGACCTGATTTAAAATATTGCCTTCTAATATAGCTCAGCTGTTGCTGAAGCATTACATTGTTTTCAAAGGAAGAAAGAAATGGTACTATGTTGAGGATATTAAAATATGTAAGACAGGAAGTTATACAGACCAAACAGACTATTTTTCTGATGGTGGGGGAAAGGTAAAAATAAAAATCTATAGTCTATGATATTAAAAAAAAAAAGGTAACACTGTACGTTTGTGATTTAAGTACCCTGAGAAGTACATGCACACCTCAAGATAATGTTTTAAATTCTTATTTTATGTTGATGTATGGCAGTGTCACAGAATTCTAGAGCTGGTTATTATGGATATATTTAAGTTACATTTTTGCGGTTGTTAGGTGTCTGAGTCGATTTTTAACTCATAGCAAGCCCATGAGACAGAGAAGAACTGCTCCACAGGGTTTTCTAGGCTATAATCTTTATGGAAGTAGATTGCCAGGACTTTCTCCCATAGAAGCCTCTGGGTGGGTTCAAACCGCCAACCTTTTGATTAGCAGCCGAGTGCTTAACAATTGTACCACCATGGCTCCTTTAAGTTACATTGTGTCAAAATACACAAAGTTTTGATGATACAATAACATACACGTAAATACATTTTCTGGAAAAGAGAGAAGTTAACTTAAGAACATCATCTCAAAGAAGATTTATTCAGAAGTTTATAGTAGAAAGCTGCAAATATCTGGCTGTACCCAAGCTGAGTAGGAATGTATTAAAATCATTTTTTTGGTATGGAATATATACTGATAGAGATGAAGTTCAGCCTAATCAGTCAAATATGATTATAAATGGCTATGTGATTCATTTTAAAACTCACTGTCCAAAATTATTTTGAGTAATGTTTGGTACAGGAATTCTAGTTCCGTGGAACAACTGAAACAATCTCTTGGAATTGGCTGAAAAATATCTGACCTAGCATTTGTCAGCTTCCTACTATCTTTACATTTCTAAAAATCTTGCCACCTTAAATCATATTAGGTGTTTATCCGTTTTAGCTTCAAAAGCTCATTAAACTTCACAGACTCATGAACTTTACATAATGGATGCCATGTTCCTTACCTAAGTTCATTTAGGAGAAAATTAACCAACTAATTTGGAGAAATGATATGCCAACTTCCAATCATTCAAACAAATCCAATTTTCCATTACAACCTTCAAACAAATGTCTAAGTCAAGTTTGAAAATAAGTAGGTTCAGTAACTAAGAGAGACTGAACACTATTGAGACCAAATTTCAAGCTGAAATGATTTAAAATCACTTTAAAGTAGTTTAATATAATTTTGCATACTAAAATGCACCATTCAGGACATAATTTAGAAATGCACACATTTTACAGAAAGAAAGGCTATAAACGGTATAAGTCACATCACATGTATTTTTGTCTCTGAATATCATGCATTTACAATGTTTATATTATAAGGATATTTATAAGCTATAAATACTTGTACACGTCAGAGAGAAGACTATCCACAGAAGTCAAATCAAAATGACATTTTAGATTCTCTAGTATTGATTATTTACAGTGTACATATCATAAAAGTATTAAATTAATATGAGCACAATGTCTCTTAAAACAAAAAAAATTTTTCTGATTTCAACTAGACAGAACAACTGTCAGACAAAAATTATAACTCTTCATAGTGAAACTCCTAAAAAATCATCTTTGAGAAGAAGCATTCAAATGGTACTCTCGAAGAGCAATGCTTACATTTAAGCAAAGTTAACAAAAATAAAAAATTTCTTTTATAAAAGAAGGAGACAGCATAGTGCTATGATGATCTGGTAGCAGCTTATAACCAGTTTTCCCATAGTTAACCCCTTACCCATTCTGCTTCCATATTCACCATACCAGGCATACACATTCAAAATGCATGCTGGTGGTTTTATAGATACGAGGACATTTTGGCTAAAATGTGAAACAAAGAGTTTTGTTTCTTAAGTTAGAAATGAATGTAGTGAATATAAAATTCCTTTCCTGAATGGAATTAGGAAAATAAACCTTCAAAATTTATCCTGAAAGTTAATTTAGTGGATAAGGAAATGAAAATTAAGAGAAAAGAAAAGAAGGACATACTCTTAATAAAGTGGCAGCCTACCTGATATGCCATTCTTGCTGGTGTTCAATAAAGCTACAGATGCTGCAGAAATTCTTTTATTGTTCACAGTCTGCCCTGGTTTTCTTGAGGTACATTCTTCACTATCACTGTCCTGTAAATTTAGTAGCCTTGGCTGGAAACACTGTAGTCGACATGATCTGATATTGCTTAATATTTCAGAAAGAGACAGTCTATTTTCACAATGTTTATTGGAAGCATTGGTCCGAGAGAAATTACAAGAAAAGTCTACAGTTTGGGAAGAACTTGAAAAACCATTCAGCATTTCAGGGTCTATTTGTTTCAGGACTGGGTCATGTTCTGTGGATATTCGGTCCATTATAACTCTGAAAAACAACATAAAACCAAATATTAACTGAATGAATTTTCCCGCATTTTTTCTACCCGTTCCCTTCCAGCTTGTAAAGAAAACTCAGTTCAAAATAAATAGTTACCGGCCACCTCTGCCAATTCGTCTCCTTGCAAATCCTATACATCTGCTTGGGACTGTAAGCGTTGTAAGGCAATGCCTATACCTCAACTTATCCAAATCTGCCAATTCTGAATTTTCAAATGAATGGTTAGTTTGGTCCAAACGAGGCTGCAAAGAAAAAAGACCAAAAAACAACAAACTCATAGATTAAATCTGAAATGAAGAAAAGTTAAATCATAATAAAAATCAAGTAAATGTAGCATTAGCAAAACAATTAAAATCTAAATCCCCTGTAAAATTGGGATTTAAAATATATATTTCTAAAATTTTACAAAATCGAATCAAAAGTTCACTCACCAAAATAAACCAAACTGAAGTATTTTAAAATAAACATGTCTTTAAAGAATAATATGGCTTTTAATAGGTATGTAGAAAAGTAGAGATAGTGAAGTTAGTAATTTATAGGCTTCCTATTGAGATAAACCAGAAGGAAATTTTTTCTGAACTAACAATTGCACTTCAAGCATGCACGGGTCAAGCTGAAGCTTCTTCTTTACTTTTAAGAAGCATACAGCCCATTTCTTTGCCTTCCCATTCCATCATTCTATTGTTCCATGTCTTACTACCTCTGTCTCCTTTCTCTCTTCTCTCATTAGCATACCTCATAAACAGCTCCCCACTTCTTCCACATTAAACACACATACACACACCCAAAAAGTTGTCAGTTTATGTTTACCATAATTCAACAAGACAGCCTCTATAAACCTTTTATGAAATCCAGCCTCATTACTCTATAGTTACTCTGAGCATTTGGAAAGTGAGGGTTACTCCTTGACATAATGTTCCACCAAAACTTAATAGCATAAAGCCATTTCTAGGTGTGTCAAAAAGTTATGAATACAATTATTAGGCAAAATATTGCCATGAGGGAGGTTAAAAAAGAATTATGACTTTATGTTTGATACTAGGTATGTATGCACAAGATGGACTTGAATAACAATGCATTTCAATAAACACTCAGCAGCCACTTAAAGAGATTCTGGGCTTACTTAACTTTAGCAATGACACAATGAACAATTTTCAGCAACTGTGGAAGCTACAGTTACGCCCAGAGTTAAACTAGATTTCTAAAAAGTGAGGAAATATCAACTTCTAAATAAAGGATTTTGAAACCTTTTGGAGGGCCTCAGTATCTTTTAGCATCTTTTATTGGTATCCATGTTTTAAAAAAAAAAAAAAAAAAAAAACCCAGTTGCTACAGAATTGATTCTGACTCATGACTACCCCATGTGTGGCAGAACAGAACTGTGCTCCATACGGTTTTCAAACGGCTGATTTTTTAGGTGTAGATCGCCAGGTCTTCCTTCCAAGGTATGCCTGGGTGGACTTGAACCACTAAACTTCTGGTTAGCAGCCAAGCATGTTAATCATTTGCACCACCCAGGGACTTCAGTATTCACATCCAAACCAAACCAAACCCGTTGCTGTTGAGTTGATTCTGACTCACAGCTACACTACGTGACAGAGTAGAATTGCCCCATAGGGTTTCCAAGGCTGTAAATCTTCACAGAAGCAGACTGCTACATCTTTCTTCTGTGGAGTGGCTGGTGGGTTTGGACCATCGACCTTTTGGTTAGCAGCCAAGCGTGTTAATCGTCTGCACCAACCAAGGACTCCAGTATCCACATAGGGGATGTTAAATAAATACAGGAAGTCTGAAGGACTTCCCATCTTTAGATCAAGACTAAGCCATCTTTACATGAGTTACCTGTTAATTCCAGTTCACAAAAACATCACAAAAAATAAAGTTCTTACAGCATAATACTGGCATCCTGCCCGCCTTCTGAAAGCACAGGGACCATCAGGATCATTTTCTTCTTCAGGTTCTGATACTGGGGACGGTACCTAGACAAAAGAGGCATTCCATTTATGGGTTATCAAAAGTCCACAGATTAAGCTTTATAATGATCTAAAACTAAAATCCTGATCACTAACAGTAAATCACTCCTACATGATATATACCCAAACCTACCAAACCCACTGCCACTGAGTTGATTCCGACTCACAGCAACCCTACTGGACAGAGTAGAACTGCCTCATAGGGTTTCCAAGGCCATAAATCCTTATGGAAGCAGACTGCCACATCTTTCTCCCGTGGAGCAACTGGTGGGTTTGAACTACTGACCTTTCAGTTAGCAACTAAATGCTTAACCATTGCGCCACTAGGTCTGTTACATTACATACATTACGCAGTAAATTTCCCAAAACATTTAAAGACTAACAAAAAATTTTAATGTTTTAAAAATAATTAATTTCAACGGACTAATTCTTGCAGGTAAGTATACATGGTATTGCTTAACTACTCGTCAATATGTTTAAGTGTCACAGACTTAAAAAGAATTATATATATGGTTTTTATATATACCATTTATATTTTATAAATAATGAATGTGGCCATACTTGATTATGACAGCTATACTTCATCTATAGGTAGGTGTGTTTTTATCCAGTAACTTTCTCTCTGTGTAATAAAGCTGAAAACGAAGTAAAAAAAACCTTATGAATAGCCAAAAAAAAAAAGCCACACAGACCATGCATTTTACTAAAAGGGAAACTCCTTATTTCCTACTCATTTCTTTTTAAATCACTTTTCAAACTTAGCAGATCACTGGAAAAGGAGAGAAGACTTGCTAAAGGTAAGCAGACTGGTTGCAGAATAAGAAGAAAGAAGCCCACAATCTGACAGCAAAAGAATTAAAAGCACTTTAAAAAGCTGTCACATATTAAATAGCATTCTATATAGCTTAACTAGTAAAGAAATGTCTGCCTTGAGCATTCTGCTCTTTTAAGATTTATCTATATAGGATCAAACTGACAATAACAACGCAAAAGATTAGATAGGAAACTTAGAGGGTAGTGAGTTTATGTTAATGAGAGAGGAACAACTCAGAAAAGGAGGATAAGAATGGTTGCACAACTTGAAGAATGTAATAAATGTCACTGAATTGTATATGTAGAAAATGTTGAATTGGTGTATATTCTGCTGTGTATACTATTAACCACAATAAAAATAAAATAAATTATATACATATGCACATATTTGTATATGTGTCATTGTTAGGTGTTGTTAAGTCAGTTCGGACTCATAGTGACCCTATGTACAACAGAATGAAACACTGTCCGGTCCTGCACCATTTATCTTGTGGAGGATCTGCCTCTCTTTTGCTGACCTACTTTTCCAAGCATGATGTCCTTCTCCAGAAACTGGTCCCTCCTGATAAAATGTCCACAGTACATGAGACAAAGTCCCGTCACCCTCACTTCTAAGGGAGCATTCTAGCTGTACTTCTTCCAAGACAGATTTGTTTGTTCTTCGCATATTGAACATTCCTCACCAACACCATAATTCGAACGCATCCATTCTTCTTCGGTCTTCCTTATCCAATGTGTAGCTTTAACGTGTGTATGAGGCAACTGAAAACACCATGGCTTGGGTCAGGAGCCTCTTGGTGCTCAAAGTGACATCTTTGCTTTTTAACACTTTAAAGAGATCTTTTGCAGCAGATACGCCCAACGCAATACATCATTTGATTTCCTTACTGCTGCTGAATCCGTGGGCGTTGACTGCGGATCCAAGTAAAATTAAATCCTTGACAACTTCAATTTTTTCTCCATTTACCATGATGTTGCTTATTGGTCCAGTTGTGAGGAGTTTTGTTTTCTTCATGTTGAGGTGTAATCCATTATTGAAGGCTGCAGTCTTTGATCTTCATCAGTAAGTGTCTCAGTGCCTCCTCTCTTTCAGCAAGGAAGTTGTATCATCTGTATATCGCAGGTTGTTAATGAGTTTTTCTCCAGTCCTGATGCCGTGTTCTTCACTGAGTCCAGCATCTCGGATTATTTGGTCAGCACACAGACTGAGTAAGTATGGTGAAAGGCTATAACCCTGATGCACACCTTTCCTGATTTTGAACCACGCAGTATCCCTTTGTTCTAACGACTGCTTCTTGGTCTATGAACAGGTTCCCCATGAGTACAATTAAGTGTTCTAGAATTCCTATTCTTCACAATGTTATCCATTATTTATTATGAGTCACACAGCTGAATGCCTTTGCACAGTCAATAAATCACAGGCAAACATCTTTCTGGTACTCTCTGCTTCAGTCAAGATCCATCTGACAGCAGTAATGATACCCCTTGTTCCATGTCCTCTTCTCAATCTGGCTTGAATTTCTCGCAGTTCCCTGATGATGTACTGCTGCAACCATTTTTGAATTATTTTCAGCATAATTTTACTTGCATGTGATATTAATGATATTGTTTGATAATTTCTGCATTCCATTGGATCACCTTTCTTTGGAATGGGCATGTATATGGATCTCTTCCATATATATATATGTGTGTATATATATATATATGTATATATGTGTATATATATATATACATACACACACACACACACACACAAACACATATATATACCCACACACAAACACACACAAATAAAGTATTCTGTCTGGGGCCATATGATATCAGGTCAAATATCCCCATAAAATCTGAGTGCACTTAAAGTGCACTGATATATCACAGCATACTTTATAAATATATCATCAAAAAGATTAAACAATATTCAAATATACTCTGATACAGCAGGGAAATGTGTTTCAGTACTTAATTTTCAGTTGTCTCGCAATTTCACTCCGCGGGACATCTCATTTTCTGATAATGCTGGCTCAATCATATTTACTTGCAAAATTTTGAACCTCACAAATTCCTTTCTTCCAATTTTCAGAGAAAAAATGTTTTCTCCACATTATTTCCAAACTGTGGTAATTACCACTGAGCAGGGTCATCCAGGGGAGAAAGGCATTTGTTTGAGGCTTCAATATACCTCCACCAACCCTACAGAGGAGAGACAGAAACAGTAAGCTGGGGCTGATTCTTCTTCCTGGGGAACCAAGCTCCCAACCTGAAATTTGAAAGGAAATCCCAAACGTGAATTTTACACTTTGGTTCCTTTGTAAATCATCTACCTCTTCTAAAATATACACAGGAAGCATTACAAAGTCTCAGAAATTCTTTGCGTAAAGTATATCACCCCTTCTCCTCCCTACCACCATCCTTGAGGATCAGATTCCGGGACTTAGTCTGGGACATAGCAAGAGAGAGCTAATGTTAGAATCAGAAGCGTGATCAAGAAGAGACAGAGTGTTTAGTTCTGTTTTGCTACAAATCAGTGGGATAAATCTAGTTAAAATGTTTGTTCTCTTAAGGCTCCCTATTCTCTTGTTCCTTGTTTACTGACAAAGAAGAAGTATATGATTACTTTGACAATGATTTTATAAGAGCTACATTCTAAACAGCTGCACTGCATGATACCAACTACGGTATAGGCAAATATTTACTTAGTTATTCTTTGGCAGCATGGGGCTATCATTATAAAAATTAATGAGAGTTTGCCAAAGGCCTACCACAAGGACTAAGAGGAACCTGAAAGTTTCAAAATGCAATTTTCATGTGGGAATGGGAGTTGGAGGATCTATGAATAAACATAAGAATTTAGAACAGAAATGAAGATTCCTTAATCCATGAGGGAATGTATAACTAGCATGTTGAGTAAGCCTTACTATTAGGCTGGAAATACTGATTCTAACAACAAGGGAAAAGTTTCTATAGGTCATGGTTTACCATGGCACTATTCTTCAAGGGCTGGGAATGTGTAACAGAACATTCCAGGCTTGCATTAGTACTACCAATATAAGGCTATTATGCATACATTTTTCTAACCATGTCACTTTCTTAAAAAACTTTAATTCTCCCCAGTATGTATAGAGTAGATAGACGTCATTCACCATCTGGCTACTACTCCAGGCAGCATTCCTTTCAATCCCACTTCCCTCTTCTCCTTCTGTGTTTTGTGCTCCAGCAGTGCCAAACTGCTAGACTTCCCTCTACTGTGCTGTCTTCTCTGTCAAGAAAGTCCTTTCCTGTAATTTCTATCTAGAAAACTAGTATTAATTAGGGCACTATCTCTCTCATTTCTTCAAAATGGTCTCCTGATTTAATGTGCTATGGCTATTCAAAGCCCTGACAGAGTATAACTGGATGATACTCTGACAAAAGTAATAAATGAAGCGCTTTTCAAGGGCATAATAAATAAAATACATCTTTGTTACTATACATATGGTGCCAAAATATTACCTGACATAGTAAAACTAAATCAGTGAAAAAAGTATTTTTAGTATGTTGTTGTAGTGTGTTGTCGAATTGATTCTGACTCATAGTAACCCTACAGGACAAAGTACAATTACCCCACAGGGTTTCTTAGGCTGCAATCTTTATGGGAGCAGATCACCAGGCCTTTTCACCTGAGGAGCTACTGATGAGGCTGACCTTTCAGTTAGCAGCCGAGTTCTTAACCACTGCACCACCAGGGCTGCTTAGTAATATAACCTAGCCAAAAAGGATAGATTTTATGTAAACTCTAGATTTTAAATAATCACAGCAATAAAGTGTTTTATAAACAGTCCTGCTTCCAAACACACCTGTGTTTTTTAAAAAAAAATTTTTTTAAGCAAGTAGGTCAAAACATTAAAATATGATAAAGCAAGTGGTTTATGTAAGGTCTTTGTTATACTATTCACTGTAAGTTTCCTATACTATAGTGAAAAAAAGAAAAATGAAGGTACTGCTACCCCAGGTGCTAAACAATATTACTGAAAAACAACAACAAAAAGATCCTTTTAAATAGAAAACAAAGGTCTTGTTTTAAAAATAGTGCTTATAAAGATAAAATTAAGATTTTTAAATTGCAAACATTTTGCTATAATACTGTTGGAACACAATACAAATTAGCTTCACAATTAAAACCTAAACAGTCCTAAATCTTCTTTATGATCAAGTAGTTATTGCCTAACAAACTGACAAAACTTAAAAAGCCGCAAAAATACAATGCTGGTAGAATGTGGTGAAAAAGGCAATTATTGATGGTGGCAATGTAAAATGTATAATTATGTATTAAACATCTTAAAACATCAATACTTTTTGTTTCAGGAATTCCATTTCTAAAAATCTATTTTAAATACAGAGGGAAAAGATAAAGATGTTCATTTTTATCAAAGAGAAAACCAGAAAACCATCTAAATGCCCCACAACAGAATAAATTCTATCAACTAATGGAAAATAACAAATAGTAAGTACTATTTCAATGGCTATATAAATGAGAAATATTTATGCTATAACATTAAGTGAACAAAGCAGGAATCAAAACTCTAAGATGTCAATTGTGTTTTTAAACTATAGCAGTATAAAAGACTACAAGAAAATGTCTTTAAAATAGTTTTAAAACAAGCACCTGTAGAAATTCATCTTCATCTGAGCTGTGAAAGTCATATTGCTTAATGTCACTCTTATTGATCACAGGCAATGTCTCAGGAGTGGGTTGCTGAGATGTTATCAAAACCTCTGCTTTAGGCTTCTTTGGGTACTTCTTCTTTTGACGAACCACATCAGAAGCCTCTTCTTTCAAAGACAAATGATGAGGGTGCTGTTTACATGATGATTTTCCCCCCAAAAGGAAGAAATGAAGATCATTTAGAAATCATGAGAACTATACTGCTCTTTGAAAAACATACATCTTTGCCAAGGAAGTGATTTTATTTACTGTTGTTAATATGTAAAAATTATTCTGCAATCGTTAAGTTGAAAAGTATACTTTTTGCAAGTTACGATAAAAAATAATTATGGTACTTAAGCTTACTTTTTATATTGTTATAATACTTAAAAGTTATTGATTTTAAAACTTACTCTATTATTTATACAACTCAACATTTAGAAAGTATTTAAATTCAATTCTTATTTTATTTAAATCTACTGTATTAATGATGAAAATAACTTATTTTTTATATAACTTAAATTGGATTACGAATTTAGTAGTTCATTTCTACACTTATTTACCAATTAAAAAAAAATTTCTATGGGTGGTAATTTTTTTGAAAAAAATAAGCTCTAACTAGGGGAAAAAAAAAAAAACCTCCACTTTTTAGAATGCATAATTACTGCCTCAACCAAATAATCAAATTGTTCTCAAGTACCCCAGGGTTCTGTAGAGATTCCCGAGAGGCCACCTGGAAAAGGAAACGGCCGAAGGGGTGGGTTTTCAGTCCTAGTCCTCCGCCCCCATTTAGTGGAGCAGCTGTTTCTATCTGTTTAACACACTGGTATTCCTTATAATAAAATGGAATCTACCACTTTAACTAGGGTGGTACACACAATGAAAATGTTTTCAACTGTCAAATTATTTATTGGGACACTTTCACATAATGGGTATAGACACTATATCTTAAAATAAAAAGTTCAACTTCTTAGAAACTATTCATATTTTAAGGTGTGATGTGTGACAAAGTAAATATAGTTAACTATGTGTCAGTGAGATAGGACAACAGTGCATGCAACCGTATCTCTAAAATTAGTATTTGAATAGGCTGAGTGTTTATTCTTACAGAAGGTCAAAATTAAGAATCACTACAATAAAGGCTGACTCTGTCAGTAATTTTAGGTTAAGATTATCATATTCTATGCTTACAAATCAATGATTTATATAAAATGGATTTAAAAAATAGCTTATAAAGTGACATTTTACGGCTATAGAGGCAGGTGTGATTTAAAGTATGTCGGCTGGATGTCTGTGATTAATACAAACTTTGGTGTTTTGGTGTTTGAGCTGACATGAGTTGAATAAAGGAGGAGTCTCCCTGCTCCACATTTTCCTTGACTTTTAAGAATGAATCCATGAAAAATGAGGACTAATGTACATTTTTAAAAAAAGATGAATTTTCCACAAACACCCTAAGTCACGTTTTTAATTTTACTGCACAGTCAAGCTCTATTAAGATGCTTGAGTCAATAGTTGTTTATTTGAATCTAAGCTCCTTAAAATTATAAAAATATTGTTTTTTGTTACCTCCTAACTAAATACTTTAATTAATATACCAAGTGAGTGTGTGTATGTTTGTGTATACATACACGCACACGTATATATATGTTACTATTTAGTCTAAGAGATCGAAGTAATCACTTAGTCTGGCTCTTTACTAGGAAGAAATGGTGGTCTAAAAGTTAGAGAACTTTCTCAAGTCACTCAGCTAGATAGCTAGCAGCTGATAAACTCTGGTTCTGGTAATGATGATGACAAAAATAACTTTCAATAGTCTCAATGAAGAAAGTTTTCATTTTAGACTGTAATGCCTGCCACTACAATGCAGGGTTTGCTAAGGCTAATGATAACTAAACTTTAATTATCCTAATCTCCAGAGAAGCAAATAGTATAGTGAAAAATACATGAACTTTGGTGTTAGACCTGGATTCAAACCTTGACTCTGTCACTTATTAGTTGTATGATCTAGAAGTCACACAAAGGTAAAGGACTGTTAGGAGTATTAATGGGTCAATATGAACGTAAAAACTCCTAGGAAAGTGCTTGGCAAATAGTAAGAACTAAATTCACATTAACTACTTTCTTCCTTAACCAAACTATATTAAGGCAACTGCACGAATCAATAACTGATCCATATTATCATACACGCTTCTCCCCAGGGGATATTCACCTTAGTTTTACATTCTTGGACTTTGTGATGATTTCCATTATGAAGAGTTGCTGGAGTGGTGTATAACTCTTTTTCTGATCTATTGATTTTCACTTCATTAAGGATTTCACCACCATAGTCTCCCAAATGATATCTTAAAAAGGTAAGAATAAAAACAAAGAAGAAAAACCAGTGATGCCTCAATAATTGGAATACAATCAGTCAAACAGAGCCTATAATTAATCAGATCATTTTAAAGAGAAAATTTATAGGAATAATGAAACTCATTTTTGGAATCAGTAAAGACAAAACACCAAAAAACAAAAAAACTTCTAAGGTTCACAGGAGACAAATTTTCCCTATATTTTATATTATCAAGCCTTAGGAAATTATGTTTAGAATGCTTACCTCACAATTCTGTTAGATTTAGTAGAATTTATTTAATTATGCAGTAAAATGATTATTACACTTGAGAACACATTTCCAAAAGAATTGAAACAAAAATTGTTTTCTACCTAGTCAGAAAATAAAATTAGTTAAACATTCACTTACCTTGAATTTTTTAAAATAGAAACTTTAATACAGAGAATTGGGCAAAATGATATTTATTTTTTTTCTAAATAAAAATCTACGTTTCTACAAAAAAAAATTAAGTGTATTAGAGCATCTACACTACACACAAAAACAAAAATTTGCCATCCAGGTTGAATAAACTTAATCTGATTTTTAAAAGGGGGAACCACAAGTAATCTTCATAAACACAAATTTTGTTAGAGAATCAGTATCATCACACAGCTTAAGGAAAAATGAAAAACCATGTGGCTATATTTTGCCCACCATTTGTTTAAAGTAAGTTGCCATTAGTATGTAATAGTAGCAATGTTACCTTTTTTCCACAACTTCTAAGGTTAAGTGCAATAATTCTCGTTTTGTTTTCTCTCTTCTCTTAATCATTTCCAAAATGGTTATGGCTCTGCTAAACTCTCGTCTCAGTTTCAACATCTTTTCATAAGAGGCTTCATCATTCTTACGATTCTATTGAAAACAACAGTGTTAGAAGAAAATCATCAATGAACCCAATTATCCACATTTTCACTTTCATTCAATAAACCCTTAACACACCCAAATTCATCCTATATTAAGTAAAAATGTTAAAAAAATCATCTAAACAGAACTTACACAGGAATCTACTTAACTCTGAAAATATACATACCAGCAAATCTCTGTCAATAAGTATTCATTAAAAAAATATTGTCAGCTGTTACAAAAGATGGAATGGCAAAGAAGAGATAACTTTAATGTCTGCGTAAGCAAATTCAAAAAAAAGTCCACCTGAAACAAAAACCTAGTGTATCAGAAAAATGCAACCCATTCATATTGCACCAAGGCATTTTTCCAATAACAGAATAAAACAGTTCCATAAAGATCAAGCGCCTAAAAATAGCCAAAATGAGTCTCCATTCATCCATCTCTGTAATTGGAGGCTGGAAGTTTCGATAGACTACAAAGCAAACAGTAACAAAGACAAAAGAAGCTTCACTTCAGAAACTTGGATATAAAACTCAAAGTGGATGTCAAACATCTCAAGAAATGGGATAATCATGATTCAATGTAATTACACCCCACTGGAGAGTAGAAAATGAGACTGAGTGAAAATTCTGAACTTGAGTAAATTGTTAGGAAGTTCTTACTTTCAAGCATAAGAACTAACTTACAAAGTAGAAGTCTTATTTGATAACTAGAAAAGACTCAGTTGTAACTGGCAGCATCCACTCGTATATGAAAATTATCGTTAAAATATTTTGTTCAATCAAATATGTAGAGAGCAATTATACTTTATATTAGGTATATTTTGGTTAAAAATATACCATTATTACCCCTCAATCTGTGTGTCCAGACAGAACAGCAATCGTTCATCCTTGAGTTAATAAGAATCTGAACAAAGCCAGAAGTTTCACATTGGAGGATTACAAAAGAGAAAATAAAAACTGAAAAAGATTCCAAGTTTTACTCTTTTTTCTTTTGTGTACAGCCTCCTGCATTTGAAAATAATCACTAAATCCCATTTATTCAAACATGCTATGTTAATAAGTCAACCTTATATCTAATAAAAAATCAGTATTTTTTTCTCCAGCACTGACAAAAGGCAAAATCTAAAGGTAAACAGGCAGCAATACCTTCAAATTAAAAAAAATTATTAACATCACCAACAGCAAATATTGAAGTGCCAATTTTGTGCAGCGTATTGCACATGACCCCCTACCCTCAAAAGGCTTAAAATCTAATGAGAGTGACAGGCATACAGTATCAAAAGATGTATAATAATACAAAGTTGGATACCAGATGATAGTCAGCTATTAAGAAATGCACTAGGACCTTTTAAGATGGCTTCTCCTCAGTAAGTGTTCCTTTAGGGCTATGCTCTGTCCTGCCTTCTTCATTTCCTGCTCTCTTTTAACTAGTCCCAATTAATTACCCTTCCTAATTTTTCCTTCCCTGAGTCCTGATCTTTCTACCCTTTTTTAAAATGTGTTATTTTGAAATAAATTCAAGTTTACAAAAAAGTATAAAGAATTCTCACATATCCAGATTCCCAAAGGTTAATATTTTACCATGTTCGTGCATGTGTGCATGCTGTCTCTCCATACACAAAAATTATTACAATTTTTAAAATTGTCTGAGAGTAAGTCACAGATATAATGTCCCTTTATTCCTAAACACTTTAGTGTGTATTTCCTTAAAAACAAACAAACAAAAAAGACATTCTCTTACATAACTGAAGTACAATTACAAAAATCAGGAAATTAACATTTATATAATCCTGTATCTAATTTTATAGACTTTATTTGTATTTTGGCAATTGTCCCACTAATGCCCTTTACAGCAACAACAACAAAATACACATATATAGATCTAGGTTCTGATTCCGGATCACAAATTATATTTAGCTGTCATGTCTCTTTGATCTGTAACAGTTCCTCTGTCTTTCTGTGGTGATCATGATCATGACATTTTTGAAGAGTAGAATCCATTTGTTTTTGTAGAATGCCCCTAAATTTGGGTTTCATTGGTGTTTTCCTATGACTAAACTCAGGCTATGCATTTTTGGCAGTACTCTCAGATAAGTGATACTATGTCCCTTTCACATCATATTAGGAGGTAAATGCTACCCATCTATCCTATTAATACTGATGTTAACTTTCATCACTTGATTAAAATGGTGCCTGTAGGTTTCTCTAGCCAACTTAGCATTTTTCTTTTTTTAATTAAGAAGTATGTTGTGGGTCTATGGAAGCATCCTTTTCTCATAAAATTTTCCCCCATTAGTTTAGTATCCATTAAATCTAACTTTTGTTCTGAAATAATTATTGCTATGTTGATTGCCAAATGGTGATTTTCAAACGTTATCATTGCTTCTACATTTATAAGTTGGAATTCTACTGTAAGGAAAAGCATTTCTTCCTTCCCCTCCTTCCTGTCTATTCTATCCATCCATCCATTCACTTCTATCTGTATGATTCATGGATTATTCTACTCTATGGGTTATAATCCATTTACCCTTGTTATTTATTTTGATGCTCAAATTTCCCCATATCTGACCAGTGGGAGTAGTCTCCCCTTATGGCTGGCTCCTGAGTCCTTCTGACAGGGCTGTAACATTCTTCAATCACATCCTTATTTTCTGGCATAGCAGAAAGTTCTAGGCTTATCTCCATGCTTTACCAGACCTGAAATCAGTTATTTTCCCAAGGAGCCCTGGTTCTTTTTAATAGAAAATGGTATTTACAATCAAGATCTGCATGTTCGGCATGCCCACTGCAATGGGGTGTCATGGCTTCCAGAGCCTCTAAGTGAACAGAACTAGGAAATATAAGTATGTATGTAATACATGTATGCTCACACACACAGATCTTTATTTCTAGCTGTATCAACATTAAAACCCAAAAGTTCATACTGACATTCTTTCTATTCTATTAAGATGGCCCTACTCCTTGTGTTCTAATCTATCCACCACTCCATTTACCCCTCCTCACCACTATCTCTCTTTGGGGCCAACTCTTTTTTCTTGCTATTTCAGTTACATTGATAGAGCAGTGGTTCTCAAACTGCTCCATATCAGAATTAACTGCAGATCATTTTATAACCAAAAATGATCCACAGGTGATTTATGTGTGCAGCCAGAACCGAGAACCACTAATCTGGGTGTTTCATTTCCTAACTGTCCATCTTACTTCTCCTGGGCCACACAGTGGGAGGAGAGCTTCTCTCAAGGCTGGTACAGGCACTAACGGTTATATCTATAGGGTTAAACATTAAATGTATATGTCAATTCAGGACTTCCCAATCAATGCATTCAGACATGCTGATGCCTTAGGACTATCTCATTTAAGAATATCCTAAAGTGCTTCTTAAAAAAAAAAAACCCCATTGCCATTGAGTTGATTCTGACTCATAGCAACCCTATAGGACAGAGTGGAACTGCCCCATAGGATCTCCAGCGAGTGGCTAGTAGATTTGAATTGCTGACCTTTTGGTTAATAGCTGAGCTCTTAGCCATTGCACCATCAGGGCTCCCTAAAGTACTTAAAACCAAAACCAAACCCACTGCTGTTGAGTCGACTCCGACTCATAGTGAGCCCACAGGGTTTCCAAGGCTGTGAATCTCTACAGAAGCAGACTGCTACATCTTTCTTCTGTGGAGCTACTGGTGGGTTCAAATCACCGATCTTTTGGTTAGCAGCTGAGTGCTTAACCACCATGCTGCCAAGGCTCCCTAAAACACTCAAGCGCTCCTAAATTAAACATTAGTTTAGTGAATTGTAATTAAATTCCAGATTGCCAATCCAACAGTTCAGGAGTCCCTTACCTTTGCATCAGCTATATAAGTGTTTTTACTTTGTCGAAATAGAAAAGGAAGCAGTCTTTGTTAGCTGTATTCATTTTTGCATACTCCAATGATTGCTCACCTCTCAAACACCTAGGGTGTATACAGTGTTTGTTGACTGTTTTCCTATCATTCTCATTTTGTAACACACGTAAACATTTCTAACTAGCAACAGCAAGCACAACGGGAACGGTTTTCGGTCCCACAACTGAAAACAGAGAGGAATAAAAAGTAAAGAACACTGAAGAAGAAAATCAACCACACTATAAAGGAAGATGAAAATAACAGATAAGAGAAAGGGTAGGAATCAGAGTGTCAGGAAAAAGCTTGACTATAGTTATTCCACAGAATCCTGGTGGCGCAATGGTTAAGAGCTCAGGCTGTCAATCAAAAGGTCAGCAGTTCAAATCCACCAGCCACTCCTTGGAAACCCTACGGGGTAGTTCTACTCTGTCATATAGGGTAGCTATGAGTCAGAATCGACCCGCCGGCAACAGGTTTTTTTTTCATTGTACTTCAGGTGAAGGTTTACAGAACAAATAGTTTCTCATTAAACAGTAGTACACATATTGTTTTACGACATTGGTTAACAACCCCACAGCATGTCAACCCTCTCCCTTCTCGACCTTTTTTTCTTTTGGTGAAAATATGCATAGTCAAAGATACACCATTTCAAAAATTTCTACAGGTACAGTTCAGTGACATTGACTACGCTCTTTCAGCTGTGCTGCTATTCTCACTTTAGATGAAGGTTTGCAGAACAAAATAGTTTCTCAGTAAACAGTTAGTACACATGTTGCCCTATGACAATGGTTAACAACCCCACTACATGTCAACACTGTCCTTACTCAACCTTGGGTTCCCTATCACCAGCTTTCCTGTGCCCTTCTGCCTTCTAGTCCTTGTCCCTGGACTGCTGTGCCTCATTAGTCCCGTTTCGTTTTATGGGGCTTTGTTTTTTTAATAACTATTCCACAGTGGTGAAGGGCCTAAGCACAGGAACCAGTTATAGTAATTCTCAGTGACTTAACCTATTTAAGAATAAAATATATTTAAACTTTAAGGATATTGTTTATATGCCCCCAAACACTGTTAATTTTAAGTACTTCAAACCTATTCATTAAAGACTAAAGACACTGTTAAGAGTCTATGTTTTGCAATATATCTTAATCAATTATACTTCTTTTAAAAAGCACTTGGTAATTCAGATTTTTCAATGGTTCAAACTTCTCCTTCCTCATGCCCAACAGCACACATTTGTAAACTTTTACTGCATTCACAAAATTATTTCATGCTAGTCTTTTCTAAGCAAGGCACTAAACTGTCATGAAGTATCCTAGTTTTCCTTAGCTAAGAACTAGAATACCATATTGAAAATTCAGCCAGGGTTAGGGAATATCATCTATACTTGGGAAATCCATCCTATAATGTTTTAAGAAAATTATGCCCACAAGAAAGAGTTGTAGAAACTCTGGTTACTAACCATTAGAAAAATTTTTCCTAAAATATACTGTCTCTGGCAGCTGTTACGCTGCACAGCTGTTCTACTAACAGCTGACAAGGACAACCTTTCCATGTTTGGAGAAGAAAGAATCTATGGAAAATGTCTTGCCTCCAATTATAATTCCTCATGGTTTTAACACTTATAATTTTTCCTGATACTCTGCAATGTTAGACAGTGTCATCGTGTGCAGTGTTTACTCTTAATTACAAGACATAGAAGGCAGTGATGGTACGATTTTTCTACCCCTCTGAAATAATGCTTTCCTCTATACTACATCATTTCACAGTACTTAAAATCTGGCCTTACACTGCATCTGAAAGCTAGTGTTCATCAATTTGAAATATGACACAACTGACAACTTAGAAAAGCAGAGAAAGATTCCACTGAGTTCCTTCTGATTATCGGTAGAATAGGCTTAAAAAATGAACCTTTCACTACTTCACATCGCCCCACAGAAGCTAGAGGCAGCAAGGTTCATTTTTACTTGCAACAATTAGAATCTCGCTTCAAAGGAACAAGCTCTCAAGCACCCAACAAGGAAAAGTAGTAGTATTTCAAACTATCAGCTTCCCAAAAAGGGGAAAGGTATGATAGTTATGTAATACTTCACTGAAGAACTCAAAACTTCCAAGGTTCATAATGGTATGTAATTCCTCATATCACTTCTAAAACTGTATGATCAGTAGAGGTATAAAGGGTGTGGGTATTAAATAAACACTGTAAACAACCGCCAACAGAAGCTACTGAATACCAGGATTTCTAACACGAAGTTCATCAATGTTATTAGCTCCCCATTATGTTCACATTATTAAAAATTATTCAGATTATTAGCAGAAAAAACTTAGTCTTGTAAATACTATTAAGCTACGTTCAATTAAATCTAATTTGCACATTACCTTCCGAGTTTGCATTTTCTCCGTTCTCCTCCGAAAGGCAACATAGGGGTCATTGTTCGTAGAGCCATCTCTTTTCTCTTGTTTGATCTGAGGAATGAGAGATGGACCCCTGCAGTTTTTACGTTTTCTCACCCAGTAGTCATATACAGCTTTAATAAGGTAATCGTCCTCATTTAGCAGCAGTTTTGCTTCTTGAAGTGTTACAAGCTAAATGAAAAATACGAAATATTATCAACTAAAGTATCTGAAAAAGTTAAACTGCAGCTATAGGAAAAACTGTGATCAGTTCCAACAATTATGATCAGATATTATGGTAGCAGGAGAAGACACATTTCAATTCAACCTAACAAAGGACTTATAAATAAGGAGACTTAACCAAAAATGTCATATTTTGTCCTCAGAGGTAGTCACTTCTATACCAAAAACATTTAAGAAGACTTGATGAACAACAGTTTGGTGGACTACAATAGATTTATGCCTCACGTATGACTTGGACTAGAAAGGCATCTAGGATCCTTCCCAATTCTGAATTTCTACAATTCTACACATTTGCGTATCTACTAGTTTTAAATTCTTTACTACTTCTATGTTTTTGTTTCAACAGAAAATAGGAGAGACAGAAGTATCTTTTCACCTACCTCCAAAATAAAAAATGAAGAGACATTCTCTAATATATGGCAACTTATTATAACATGCCTCTTTCGAAACTGACAAAGAAAAGGACAAACTTGGCATGTTTCCAGAAGTTTCAACAGTATGCAGTTTTGCATTCTTTGTATCAATTACATATAAAAGCAATTCCTCTACTCAAGCTGGTAAAATACTAGGGAATGAGTGTCCCTTATCCCTCACTCTGCTTAATGACACTGTCATGTCTGGGGGCAGTGGCCCTAGGATGATTCCCCTAGAAGCTCTGACGGTGGTATCTCAGGGTATCTACCTCTTCTTTATCAATACAGCCAGAATAATGTTGACATATCTCAAACTAAGGTTCATAAAATTTTGCTTGGCCACATCTGTTACCCTGTTCCATCTGAAGATCAGGTAGGCCAATTAGACTTGAAATAGAGGTTAAACATTTATTCACAGTGAACTTCAGAAAAAGGTCACGGAGGCCCCGGGAAAGCCTCGTAGAAAGTGATGTTATCTCAATCTTTTTATATTTTTCATTTTAGAGATGAAGACTGATTTTCAAAACAAGTTGAGATACTGCCTAATAAACGTTTTCCTAGAACTTGGAAATAAAGGGAGAAAATTTCTCTCATTGAAACGAAGATCAACATACAAACTGATCTGTGTGCTGTTTTAAGTTATCTGAAAGACACATGGACTCACCAAATAATTTCTGATTATGATTTGCCTTCTCATATTGGGATAACTGCACTGATTATTTGGATTTCAAGCCTTGTGAGGGTGATTTCTGGGGTTAAATTAGTTGGTTTACTGTAATTTGATTGCCCAGGTAATTGGACCAGAGGAAGAGAATATCCTGACAATGTCAATTCAAGTATTCTAGTCCATCTGACCGGTTTCCCCGGTTTCTCAGCGGAGTCAGCTTAACCGCATATGAGAGGCTGAGTAACTTGGTTTTTAAAGTTGAGGGCAAGAGCCTACAACATGAAACTAAACTAAAGAAACCAATATTTTCAAACATCACCTTTAAATAGACGCCTTCCTACTCTTAGCTGAAGTTCTTTCAGAATGGTGAGACATACCCCGAACTCCACAAGGACAGTGATGGAACAGAACTGAGCTTCTGGATCTGTAAAAGTCTACCTCATGCTGACAGCATCACTGGCAGCTCTCAGGTACTCTGGGGCGAAGGAAACAATGCTGTGATATGTACTTAAACTCTGGTTGTTCTGCTTCTGATAACATTTTGTAACCTTTGCTAACTAAATCAAGAACTTTATCTAACCTTAGGGTGTGCAGGAAGGGAAGATCTCTTTGCACCAATCAGCAAAGCAGCAGTGAGTTTCTTATGTAACAATACTATCTGTCATGGATTGAACTGTGTCCCCCCAAAAAATGTGTGTAGCAACTTGGCTAGGTCATGATTCCCAGTATTGTATGATTGTGTAACATGATGTGATTTCCTTATGTGTTGTAAACTCTATCACTATGATGAGGTTATATGTGATCTCCTTATGTGTTGTAAATTCTATCACTGTGATGAGGTTATGCTGATGAGGTTTATGAGATTAGATAGTGTCTTAATGCAATCTCTTTTGAGATATAAAAGAGAGAAGTGAGCAGAGACACATGGGAACCTCATACCACCAAGAAAGCAGTGCCGGAACAGAGCACATCCTTTGGACCTGAGGTTCCTGCGCAGAGAAGCTCCCAAGCCAAAGGAAGACTGATGACACGGACTTTCCTCCAGAGCTGACAGAGAAAGCGTACCCCTGGAGCTGATGCCCTGAATTTGGACTTGTAGCCTACTGGATTGTGAGAGAATAAACTTCTTTGTAAAGCCATCCACTTGTGGTATTTCTGTTATAGCAGCACTAGATGACTAAGACACTATCAAATCAACACTGCTTCTTTTTATTTTTTATTGTACTTTAGATGAAGGTTTACAGAACAAATAGTTTCTCATTAAACAGTCAGTACACATATTGTTTTATGATATTGGTTAACAACCCCACAACATGTCAACACTCTCCCTTCTCAACCTTGGAGGACCTTTTTTTTTTGTGAAAATATACATAGCCAAAGTTACACCATTACAAAAGTTTCTACATGTACAATTCAGTGATATCGATTACACTTTCCAGTTGTGCTGCTATTCTCACTATCCTTTTCCAAATTATTCCATCACCATTATCTTCAACTCACTGTCCCCTAGGCTTCCCATCAAACCTTTTGAGTTGCTGTTGTCAATTTGATCTTGTATAGATAATTCTTTTTTTTTTTTTTTGTACTTTAGATGAAGGTTTGCAGAACAAATAGTTTCTCACTGAACAGTTAGCATACATATTGCCCTCTGACAATGGATAACAACCTCATGACATTCAACACTGTCCCTTCTCAACCCGGGGTTCCTTATTACCAGCTTTCTTGTTCTCTCCTGCCTACTAGTCCTTGACCCTGGACTGCTGTGCCTCATTAGTCCCGTTTTGTTTTGTGAGGCTGTCCAATCCCCAGCTGTACAGTGAACTTTGGGAGTGACTTCACCACTGAGCTAAAAGGGTGTCCAGGGGCCATACTCTTGGGGTTTCTCTAGTCTAAATCAACACTGCTTCTTAACCTCCCGCATGACCTATCAGAGGATTAAAACACTTGCTCAGATTTCTTTCCATGGTGTTTCTTGTTCCTGCTTGCAATGCCCCTCTGCCTTGCCATTAAGCGCCCTCTTTCTATCTCAGGTAATAATTCAATCCATAGTTTACAGTTAAACATGATGACATTTCTTTCTAGTGATAACTGTATTTTCTCAGTTAACTGCTGTTTTTATGTGTTATACAGCAAAACTTGATTTTATGTGATAATCTTGGTTTCAAACCATTCTGTAAAAATTTATCTTTAGCCGTACTAAGGTAACTAGCATCACTGCATCTCTGTTATCAGGGTGATGGCATCAATTTGAGTATGCAGAACTATCTGCACATACAGTTGTCACAAATTATTATGTCACATGATTAAAAATCCAGATAACCAGAATCCTACTATATTTACACCCCACAAAACAATGTTCTGCCATTCAGCACTTTATCCACCAGAAAATCCTGGAAGCCAGTATTTAACTGGCAAAAGGGTCTGTGGTAGACATATTATTTCCAAATAAGCTGAGTCAGTCGATTTACCTCATTTAATTATTTTGGGGACTTGAGGAAGGGGAGATAAAAATTATTCTACCATATGAACTTTTCTTATAGATTGCTATCAGCTCCTCAAAGACAAGGACCATTTAGTTTACTAAAATAGCCAAATTTCATGGTCTAGCCATTTCAATATATATAAATATATCTGAATATACAAATGCATAAATTACATGTAAAATTCAATGTTTTTCATTTATAAAGTCAATTAATCAATAAGTAGTTAATAATCAACTATACAAGCCCATCATTTCCCATGTGGAGAAAATAAGAAAAAAAACCTTTAAGATGAATTCACTATCTAAACAAACATACAATATGGCGACTAAGGTAAGACAAATACAAATTAAATAATAAGTGAATATGAGAATGTTAGTACTGAGTATTAGTGCAAAAACTCCATTAAGGATTGCCTGCATTTCTTTTCCATGTCAGTAAGTCGTCATCTCTTTGCTGCACGCCTTCCTTTTACACTTCACTTCTTTCAAACCTGATGTTTATTATTTGTGTAATAGCCCAAATATTACAAAAGTCGGGTTTCCAAATAACAACAACCATTTATATAAATCCAAAAGGGAGACAAAGTTTATTAGTGGTTACCAGAAGCTGGAGGAAGGGGAAGAGGGAAATGGGGAGTTGTTATTTAACAATCATTTTTCACCTTCTTTCTCCAAGAACAAGTGATTACAGTTCAAAATCAACACAGTGAAATAGTGATCTGATTCTAAATATACAACACTGAAAACATTCCAATTTATCAAATGATCTCTAATTTACACAATGGCACAAAATTATGGAAAAGTCAAACTGAGGAGAAATATCAGCAATGTATAACTCAAAATTTACAATTATACATTGAGTAGTCTATAAAGACTAAGTTAAGGAAATGCATTGTCTTCACCAAAGATCCAGAAAAAGGAAAAAGTCTTCCACTACAGCAACAAAGATTTAGTAAAACTATAAAGTCTCCCTGTCTTTGGACAAGTACCCAAATATAAACCATACAACAATTTTTCAAGGGACAGCTCACTGCTCAAATAAAAAAAAAAATTGAAGACTGCTGAATGCTACAGCTAAATAAAGTAGTACACCAACGTTTATTCCAGCACTTTTCATAGTAGCCAAAAGGAATTAACAATGTAATGTACAACAACAGATGAATGGATAAACAAAATGTGGTACATACAATGAAATACTGATCAGTCATAAAGGGAAACGGCATACTGATACATGCTACAACATGGATGAAACTTGAGAACACCCGTGAGTGAAATGAGTCAGTTACAAAAGGACAAATATTGTACCACACTTACATGAAACGGAAACCCTGGTGGCATAGTGGTTAAGAGCTACGGCTGCTAACCAAAAGGCTGGTAGTTCAAATTC